CACATTGGCTATTCTGCCCACGTCCGCTAAGCCCTGCTGAATGCTGGCTCAGCGCGCTCACCGGGTAACTCAGGCCCAGCTCTGGCAGACCAAGAGGCACCGAGGTACTGAAGAAAGAGAGATGGTCTCTGGAAGTGCACAGACTAGGGTTCAAATTCTGCCCCACTGGCCAGCCTCAGTGGCTCACGCCTGTAATCCCAGCACTTTAGGAGGTCGAGGTGGGCAAATCAGGAGGTCAAGAGATCGAGACCATCCTGGCAAACATGGTAAAACCCTGTCTCTACTAAAACTACAAAAATTAGCTGGGCGTAGTGGTGTGCGCATGTAGTCCTAGCTACTAGGGAGGCTGAGGCAGGAGAATCGCTTGAACCCAGGAGGTTGCAGTGAGCCAACAAGCCGAGATCTCACTACTGCACTCCAACCTGGCAACCGATAGAGACTCTGTCTCAAAAAAAAAAAAAAAAAAAAAAAAATCTGCCCCACTAATGGCTGTGTGGTCTTGATCGAGTTACTTAACCTCTCTGAGCTTCTATTGCCTCATCTAGAAAATGAGGCTATTAATAACACTTACAGGTCTTGGGTGAGGATTGCTTGAAATAAGATGGTATTGCTAATGGTATTGATGTATCCAGCACATGGAAAATGTTTGGCAAATGGTAATTCCATATTGATTTTTTTTTTTTTTTTTTGAGACAGTCTTGCTCTGTCACCAAGGCTGGAGTGCAGTGGCACAATCTCGGCTCACTGCAGCCTCCGCCTCACAGGTTCTAAGCGATTCTCCTGCCTCAGTCTCTGGAGTAGCTGGGATTACAGGAGTGCACCACCATGCCTGGCTAATTTTGTATTTTTAGTAGAGATGGGGTATAACCATGTTGGCCAAGCTGGTCTCGAACTCCTGATCTCAGGTGATCTACTGACCTTGCTCTCCCAAAGTGCTGGAATTACAGGTGTGAGCCACTATGCCTGGCCCCATATTGATTGTATCATCTTGTTAATTACACAATTACCCATGTCATGTAATTTACCTTTCTGAATCAGTTTCCTTACCCACAAAATGGGGACAATAGTGCCCACTTAGGGAGGTTGGGAGGATATAAGGTGCCCAGCACAGGGCTGAGCGTAAGGGTGCTGCCAACAGGGGGCTGTTGGTCACGGCTGGCACCCTGAATGTTGTCCCCCTGTTTCCCGGGCTGCTGTTCCTTATCTCCCCTTGGGCTCTTGTTTCCACCCCTCCCATGTCGCCTTACTGCCTGCCCTGCACCCACTCCCTGCTAAGGGAGGGGTCCTGCATTAGGCCCCCAACAGCCATGCCCCCATATTGAACCTGACCAAGGTCTGATTGGTTGGTACCCGACCAAGGACAGCTGTCTCTGGCCATCTGCCACCTATGATTGATATACCTAGTTCAGTCCTAGATAGGAGTTGCCCATTGGTGGGGCCGTCACATCCAGGTGACCTTGGAAAGGCAACGTAGGAACAGGCAGAATTGGTGAGGCAGAGAGAGGAAGGTGAGCGGATGCGCAGAGAGTGAACAAGTGTACCAGACAACCTCAAGTCTAACCCCATGCAGCCTCCCGGTCCTGAGTTCCAGCACCCTGAGGTGCTGGCTCGTCCCTGACAAGGAATGCTCAGTCTTGGGCCGGCTGGAAAGCCCTGATTCTGTCCTGTCCCATCTGCTGAGCACAGCCAAGCTCGCCCCCAGGGCTCTGTGGCCATCAGCCTTGTCAAAGGGAAATTTGAGGGTGGAGGGCCTGTCTGCTCTGTGGGGTCGGCTGCCCTTTCTCTCGCACAGATCTTGGCTGTGGCTCAGCACAGGCTTCTGGGATCCACTTCCACTTTATTCCTCTCCACCAATTCGGAGGCTCCAGGGAATGGGGGTGGCCCTCCCTTCTCCCAGAACGATGCCCTAAGTATGTCCGCTGAGTGCAGCCTGTAAAGCGCTGAGCAGATGCCTGCAGGCTCATGACAGTCTTGCATCACGGCTGACCCTTCTCCTGGGGTGTTAAGCAGAGGTGTCAGCACAGAGGGGGTGACAGAGTGAGACCCGCTCCCAAAGACACACATGTAAGGCACATCCGCAGGCTGGAAAGTTGAGGAACTTGTGGCTGAGCAGGTGAGATGATTCAACCTCCAACCTCCTCCAACACTCCCAGGAGGAGCCGCTAGGTGGCCCCGCTCACCTGTCCAACAGCGCTTCTGCAGGCCTGGAAGGAGATCCTCCAGAGCGTCCTCCCGTCCTCCGTCCTCCGTCCTCCGGTTTGCACCTGCCCAGGTACCCCCGGGTCACTCCCCGAGCTCCGCCTTCCCTTCTGTGGCCCCGCCATTGGAAATGCCTTTCCCTCAGTACCCAGACGCCTGGATGCTGCCTTCATGGGCCTTGGGGTTAGGCTCACACCCCTCCATCCCAGGATGCTTCCCTGACTGCTCGGAGCACACCCCCAAGACCTCCTCCGTTGGCTCTTAGCACCCCTCCCTTGGGTTCTCAGTTCAGGCCCCCACCCCCGCTCCACCCCCAGGGTGATCTTTTATCTGTGCACAAATGCGTCTGAAGTTTACATCCTCTCCCCAGATTGTGGAGTCAGAGCCTTGCGTTTCTGCCACCTGCCTGCTTTGTGCCTGTAACTGCACAGGTGTCTGCAAACCCCGCCACTCCCCACCAATAGGCAAGTCCTCGTTTACGAGGAAACCGAGGCTTGGGGATGACGTGGAATCTGCCCAAGGTCACAGCAGGAACACCTGAGCCTTGCTCTGCTCAGGTGCTGTGATGCACTGTGGCAGAGCCCTTCCGAAGCGTGTGCAGTTAACCCTTTGGCTTACAAGGGGAAACTGAGGCTAGGAGAGGTATGTTGCTTGCCCTCAGCCACACAGCCAGGGCCCTGTGCCCTCTACCACAACCTTCTTCCCAAGTCTGAGGGCCCTGTTAATTAAGCCCTGTTAATCAGTCACCTGCTGACCCTCTTAATTCATAGGAAAGGCCCAAGGGCGAGAAAGAGCCAGAGGCCAGAATTGGAACCTGGGTCTCCTAACTCCCAGCCATTGCTGTGGGATCCTCTCCAACTCCCGGGCCGCCTCAGTCCGGGAAGCCGGGATCCGGCCGCAGGTGAGGCCAGCGGTCGTCCTGGAAGGAAAAGGTGGCTGGGGACAAACAGCTGGTGGCTTGTGAATCCAGCGCCTGGCGGGTGACAGTCTCCTCGGATGGCACGGGGCCCAGGGAGTGCCCCAGCCCAGGCTGGACGCGGCCCCCACCCGCAGCCAGTCTGCCCTGCCGGTGCCGGACGCGTAGAGGGATCGGGAGAGGGACGAAGATGGGGCGACAGACTGGCAGCCAGTGGGGGAGAGACGGAGACGGTGCCAGGGAACAGCGCGGCGGCCAAGGCGCCCCGGGAGCCGGAAAACAGCTTTGGGGAGAAGCGGGGGCGGGGAACGGGGGTGTCTGTCTGGAGCTGGGGGAGCAGAAAAATATGGGGCCGCAGAAAGGGGCGGAGGAGGGGCGGCCGGCGGGCTCGGCGGGAGGGGAGCGCGGCGTCGGGCAGTGTGGGCGCCTCCCGGTCGGAAGCCACAATAGCAGCTCCTTCGCCGCGCAGATTAAGGACTTTGTCAATTACCTCCGAAAGCCGCTCCGGGCGGATTAAATGCTTTTCAAAGTGCTGCTGGTGGGAAGGGGCAACTAAGAAGCCCCCTCCCTGCACAAATCCCCTCCCGGCGGAGGAGAAGGCAGTGGCTGGGACCGCGCGGGGCGCGCCGGGGAGCGCGGGATCCGCCGGGAGCGCGGGCCAAGCGCGGAGCGGCTGGTACTCGCGACCACAGAGCAGTCGACTGTAGCAGTGGCGGGGACCCCCATTTCGCCCACGGGCCGCACGGGCCGCGCGGGCCAGGGGGCGTCGGGTGGGCTCTCCGACCGCCGGCGCGAGGGCACGCGTCTGCGGAAGCGGACTGGGACGCCCCCAGGACCAGGCTCACGCGTCGGGGTCGGGAGCAGGGAGTTCCCCGGGGGCTGGAGACCCCACAGCTGGGTGCACTTGCCCCAGAACCTGGACCGAGACCTCGGGGGCCCGCAAGGGCGCACCTCCACCGAACCTGCCCCAGGTGCAGCCAGGGTCTTGGGGCGAGCTCTGCTCCTTGAGCCAGGAGGGAGCCAGGAGGAGCGCCGCGCCACTCCCCCGAGACGCCGAACCGGCCGGCAGGGGCGCCCTTGGGGCCCGCCCCGCGCACGGTGAGTTGTGCGAGTCCGGCCCGGGAGGAAGTTTGAGCAGAGACGCCGCCGGGGGGCTGTCAGGCCCCTCTGGGAGCCAGCAGGAGCAGGGCCGCCCGCGGCTGTTTGCTGCCCTTCGGCCGGCCGCGGTGTCTGGGGGCCAGTTCGGCCTCCTTTCTCTTGGCCTTTTCGGAGGCGGAGTTCACTATCCAAGTCCGCGGGTGTGAGCGCGCGCGTGTGTGTGTGTCGGGGGAGGCCAAGGGGAGCAATATAAAGCAAAGAGAGTCCGAGACCAGAAAAGACGCGGAGATTGAGAAGGAGGGAGGAGGGACGAGGGAGGAGGGAGAGGAGCGCGCCAGGGAGGCGCGGGAGCCGTGAGCGGGGACGGCGCGCAGCGCGAGCGGCGGGCGTTGGGCGGGCGGCTCTCGCGCTCCCGCTCCCGCTCCCGCCCGCACACAGCGGCGCGCTCATCGACACACGCTTGCCCGCTCCCGGGCCGCCCCGGCGCGGGGCACAGAGGCGGGGACCCGGTGGACAGAGCGCGCCCCGCGCCCGCGCCCGCGCCCACCCCGCTGCCTTTGCGCTCCGCAGCGGCGCGTCGCGCCCGGCGCCCCCGCCAGTCCTACCGGAAGATGGTCAACGACCGGTGGAAGACCATGGGCGGCGCTGCCCAACTTGAGGACCGGCCGCGCGACAAGCCGCAGGTACGCGCGGGCGCTGGGACACTGGGCCTGGGCGGCTGGCCAGGAGGTGGCTGCTCGGGCCGGCGGGGCGGGCACCCAGTGCGGGGGCTGGAGTTTGGAGCGCACCCCTTCGAGGCTCCGGAGGCACGGGTCGGGATGGGGACCCTCCTCTCCTCCTCCCCTAGCCGAGGCTTGAACTCGAGGTTCGATGGGGGCGGCACCCCTGCAGGAACCACGCGCGCTTCGGGCCGGGTACCCTCTGTCCCCGCACCCCCAGCGACCCCCTGGTGCATGGGGGTGCAGAGGGAGTCGGGGACTTACAGTTCGCTGTGTGTCCACAGACAAATCAGTCCCCTTGCTGAGTCTCCGTTTCCTCGCCTCTCCAATGGGCATCTTAGCCACCCACAAAATCTCCACTCTGGGCGCCACCCTCTGTCAGGCACCTGGTCCCGAACCTGACCCCCTGAATCTCCTCTGCATCCTTCCCTCTTTAGCCAGGGCCCTGCATACAGTAGGGGATCAATAAAGATTCATCTCCTGCAGGAACGCTGGGTGTTTTGATTTTCTGACTTTAAGACAAGGAAAGCAGGGCTCCGAGACGGTTGGCTCCTGCCTGAGGCCACGAAGCTCTGCTGGGATTTGAACCCTTGTCTGTGTGCTCCAGGGCTGGTTCATTCCTCCCTTCCTGCTGCCTCTTCAGGGGCAGTGGAGGTGGGGCTTGGAGGGTGCCCAGGGCTGTGCGGTGGAAGCGGGTGAGGGCAGAGCACCTGGGCTGGCCAGCAAGGAGGCTGGAGTCCGGAAGCCGAGGCGGAGGGGAGCCCCAGGGCTGCCCGGGGCTGGGCTGCCAAGGGACTGGGGCAGGCAGGCGAAATGAGGAGGCAGCTCGCTCACCAAGGAGAGGAAAGAGTAGGGCTGCCCATTTTAAATTTTAAATTTCTCCCAGACAGATGTCATTGGGGAAGGAACAGTTCGTGCTTGCAGCTGCAGGAGGGGGTAGCACGGGCAGCCCTTGGTGGTCCCTTCCCCTCAGGAGCTGCAACCTGCTCATTCTTCCTGGTGTGACACTGCTGTGGCACAAGGGCCCAGCCCTCTACGGTTTGCAAAGCCCCTTCCCATTCATCAGCATTACCTCACTTCTCCAAGCAGGCTGGGGGCCAGTGCGTCCCCACATCACAGACCAGGGATCAGAGAGGTTGGGAACATGCCCAAGTCACACGGCACGTTGGCAAGAGAGTGGAGATTCAAACCCTGGTCTAACCACACACCTATCCCACTGCTTCTCGTGGGCGGCCGGGCCCTCTAAAGGTTAGATCTGCACCTAAGCCCCCCTTCAAATAACAAGTTCCCTTCTGCTGAGATCTGACTTCTCCCCCTTAGCAAGAACTGTCTTAACTTCTAGACCTGTCCTCCAAGGCCATTCCTAGCCTGGCGCACTGTGCCTTCCCATTGGTCCCTTACAGGCAGTGACTGTTTATTATTTGCCAACCCTGGGCCCCACACCACGCCGCCCCATTTCCAGATCTTTTCTGTGTCATCTTGTTTGCTTCCCCAGGCTTACACACACACACACACACACACATACACACATACACACACCCCTTCAGTCAGCGACACCCTACATATACTCAAAACCTAACTCAAATGCTGCCACCTCCTCCAGGAAGCCTTCCCTGATGCCCTGTGGCTGTATCTCTAAGTTCTAGTCGTGTTGTAGCTTGTGCCACTCAGCTGCCTTGTCCTGGGCCCCTCCTGCATCAGGAGATCCCTTTGCACACACCCTCCTCTGGAGCCCATCTCTTGTTCTCTGCCCGGGCCCAGGCTCCATTCCTTCCAGGCAGCTCAGGTCAGGCATTGAGGATGTTTGCTGAATCGAACTGCACGAAGCTTCGGCCAGGAAGAGCCTCAGGAGACAGCCAGCAGGCACTGGTCTGTCTCAAGGGGAGGTGCCTTCTGGGGAATGTTTGAAATGTGGCTTCAAGGCCTCTGGACCGGGCCTTGCCTTCCTCTGTTGCTCCCTGAGGACACAGCTTTCAGCTGCCACCAGGCCACACAGCCCAGCTGTCTGCCCCTTGGCACTGGAGACAGCTTGAAGGCTGTGGCTCCTGGAGCCTGGGCCAATAGCAAGCACCCCCGCCTCCCCTCCCCACCCCTTTGGTGACCCAGCATGTAGACAGCCTGTTCCCTGTGCCGGCTCTGGGCTTGTTTGAAGCTTCAGACAAGAGGCAAGGCCCTTCCTGTGGCCACTGTCAGAAGAAAGAGAGAGCGCTGGCTGCCCTGGTTCCCTTGGGCCTGCCCTCCCTTGGGCCAGCCTTCTCTCCTCCTTTGCGGCCAGGTTCATCTCACCCGCTGACATGCTGTGTGGCTCTGGGTAAGTTACTCCCCCTCTCTGGGCCTGGGCTTCACCATCTGTAAAGTGGGAACAGCAATCTTCACTTCCTCCTCATTTCACAAGGGCTGTTATGAGGGCCACGTGAAATACTGGTGTGTTTTGCAAACTGTAAAGCACTGTATGCTCATGAGGAGGATGCCTCTCGCAGCAGCCTGTCCCCTCCACAGGCTGGCTGTGTCCCGGTCTCCTCTCTGCCCACCAGGAAACGCCGTCTGAACATCTGGCTCCTACCAGAGGGGCCTGGCCGAGATTCTTTAATGGGGGATTTTCCTCTGGGAGCATAATGCCGATGCTGCACTCCAAGCACCAGTAGGTCACAGGCCACACCTCTCGTTTCTTAGTCACAGGCACCCTAGGAGCTTGGTGGCAGGGATGATGAACCCATTTGATAGATGAGGAAACTGAGACTAAGAGCTGGAGCGGGGACTCGAACCTGGGTCTTCTTGGACAGCAGACAAGGGCCTCTGTGGGAGGATGGAGGGAAGAGAGGCTGGCCGCCCTTTCTTGGTTCAGCCCACTCAGCCCAAGTTGGGGCTCCAGTGTCCAGGCTGTGTGGTTCCCAGGGCACCAAAAGCACCTGCTGTGAGTGGGTATAGCCCAGGTCCAAAAGTCCTAAAGGATCATTGTCCAAATGTAGCCATTTCTGGGGACGCTGTGGGCCCCCTCTATCCCAGCCCTATCCAGCCTCAGCTCCTCTTTGCTGGGCGACCTTGGATGAGTTGCCAACTCGGACTTTGTTAGCGCATCCTCCCTCTCCCTGCAGATTGGACTTTGTTAGCGCGCCCTCCCTCTCCCTGCAGATTGGACTTTGTTGGCGCGCCCTCCCTCTCCCTGCAGATTGGACTTTGTTAGCGCGCCCTCCCTCTCCCTGCAGAATGAAGAGCCTCTCACACCCTTGGGGCAGAGTGAAACGATATTTGCCAGGAGTTTGGAGGTTGTCAGATGAAAGGCTCTAGAAATAGCAATGATTCTTCTGGTCTTGGAGCGCGGGGCAGGAAGTCACCCTGCAACCATCTCCGCTGGTCAGAGGGGCTTGTTTTTCCCAAGCCACCCTACAGGGAGGTCAACTTCCAACCCACCCCAGGCAAGATCGCTTGATGCTTTCAAAATTTGTAAGAACATTTCAGAAAGAAAGAAAGAAAATCTCTTGGGGAAGTTCTTCCTGATGTCTAACCTAAATCCCTACTGCATTAAATTTACTCAGTGACTATTGAGGGAGGTCCCACCTCATGCTAGGAGGTATAGTCTGGTGGATATGGTCTGTGCCTCAGGGAACTTAGAGTCTCTTGGGGGGCACAAGCTCACAGGTCAGAGGCGATTACAAACCATCATGGGTGCTAGAAAGAAGATTTATGCCTCTTCGTGTCCCTTGGGGTTTGGGTTGAGGTCACTGTGCTAGGCTTGGGGTTTCCCGAGCCCCTCCTTCTGAGCTCACTGTTTAGCCGAGGTGTGGTGTGGCTGAGGAGGCAGAATGGACGGGAGCAGGTGACTGGCCAGATGTTGAGTGAGGGAGGGAGGCCTGGGGAGGTGCCAGCTTTGTGGGGGCAGCAGGTGGGGTTGGTGCCATCCCTGAGTGAGAAATAGGAGGGCTCAGGTTTGGGGTGGAGAGATGCTGGTTTGGGCCTCAGTGGGCTTGAGGCCCCGGTGGGCCCTCTGGGAGGCCAGAGCTGTATGCTGGGGGGATGGCAGGCAAGACCCTTATAGGAAACATCTGGAGAACCCCTATCCATGGTTCAGAGCAAATGCTCCCAGGGAGTGAGACAGCTGGAGGGCTTGGATCCTCCAGGAGGGGCAGAGGCTGGGAGCTCTGTGGGGTGCTCTTATCCCCTTGGACACCTTCAGCCCCTCCTGTGCCCCTCCCTGTGGCCTGAGGCTCCAGATGGCCCTGGCAGGGTTCTTCTGAAGGGCCACCAGCGGGATGGTGGTTCCCGCTCAGATCTCACAGAACAAGCCTGCAGACCCCCTTCCTAAGTCTTTGGGACCCCAGATTGGTGAGCGGAACTACCAGCCCTTCACCCCCAGGGGTGTCTCCGGGACCCTCCCTCTGCCAGGGCCAGGGGCTCAGAGTTCAGCCCTTACTGGAAGTCGTGTGCCCAGCCATGTGCCAGCCGGGCGCGGAGTCGGCTCCTGGGGGACAGGAGGAATTTCCCCAAGGCTCTGGCCTGAGGCAAGGCCCAGTCCTGTCAACCCACGGAGCCCATAAGCCCCCGCCCAGGCTCTGTGCAAGCCTCTACTGGATCCAGAGCGCACAGGACCCCGCCACCTCCAACTTTCCATCTCCCAGTGCAAAGCCCCAGGATGTGTTTTTGTCATGCACAACAGCTGCCTGCCTTGGGCTGGGTGCTCTTAGGAGATGGGGGTGGGTGGCAGGAGGGGCGCTTACCTGGGTCTAACCTGGCCTGGTCTCCCCTGGAGGGAGACGTTCTTCTTCTTACTTTCATCTGTGGAGTATGGTCCCAGTCTCCCCCGGGGACTCCTGCCAGCCAGCTCTCTTAGGAGGTGAGGAGGAAGGGAGGTGTGCCAGCTTAGCAGAGCGCCTTGGCATCAAATCCCTTCCTCCTCAGCTTCCCCCCACCCCGCTTCCTCAGAACCCCCAAGGCTGGGGCCTCAGAGAAGGTAGCCTGGACAGAGGTCACCCTATAACTGAGGCACCCCCGGGGGCTGCCTGCCGCCCTCCTGGCACGAGCCTTATCCTCCTTTTGGCCAAGGCTTCTTAGGCAACCATGAACCCTGGGTGGGCACTGGGGGTCACTCGAGTGAACCAAGCTGAGTCCCTCCAGCTGGAAGCTTATGCAAGTGGTCAGTGGCAGAAGTGGGCTTTGAACCCGGGGCTCCCGGCTTAGGACCTGGTCTCTCTCCTGCCCACCTGCCCGGGATGCCCTGTCTTGGGAGCTGGGGGCTCTCCCCATTCCGCGGCCCCCAGGGAGTGCACCCCGCTTGGCCACGCCAGGACGGATGAATCAGTTCCAGCCTCAGGCACACCAGTTGGGCTGCTCAGCGCCCAGAACCCCCCTTATTATCTCGGGCAGATTTCTTCGCAAGGCACGTAAACGGCAGCCCATAAAAGCGAACAGTACTTCATCTTTAAGGTGATCTCTGAAGACTAATTCTCCTCTGCTGAGTGCCCTGTTTCATCTCCAAGCTCTGCTGTTCCCTGCCTCCAGGGGACCCCCTGCGGCTTCCTCGAGCCCCTCCCCATTTTGGTGCCCTCTGCCTTCCCACCAGGGAGGGGCTTGAGTGGGAGGAGGGTGCAAGATAGGGCAGGGGTGTGGGAGTTGCAGAGAGGAGATGGCTGACCTCTCTGCCATGCCAGCCCCAGCCTCGCCAGCCAGCGGACCTTAATGCTACACAGTCTGGTGATGCGGCCCTGAGCTGCTCGGGGCAAGGTATCTCCCGACGGACTCCAAAAGCGTGCATGACAGGGACTTAGCTGCTGACACAGAGCTTTGTCTATCAAACCCAGCCATACTTTAGGCAGAGGAAGGAAATCATAGAACAGCCCAGTTAGCGGCCCTGGCACAGAGGCAATTCCGGAGTGCCCCAATCCTGGGTCCAGGTGGCGGTTCCAGTGCACCTCCCCCACGTGACTTTGGATGAGGGTCTTGTTCTCTGAGCCTCAGTTTTCCAATCTGCGTCGTGAATTCAACCATAGCCTCAACTGCATGGGGTTACTTGGAGAATTCAGTGATGGGAACATGGTCCACGCCCAAGGAATGGCAGTGATGGTGCAGCGCCCACCTGTCTGTAAGCTGCTGACCTGCAGCTGGCTGGGGGCTGGGGAGGGCCTGAAGCTTGCCCATTCTGTGCCAGGCTATCAGAGATGGGCACTGGGTCAGAGGCAGCCCTGCCTCGGGGCCCAGGGCCCAGCCAGGGTCATGAGCCTCTGCCCTGCCAAGTCAGGTAGATCTCAGGAATGCCTTCACCCCTGCCCCATACCAGCTCCCTCCTGTCCATCTGCCTGTCCACCCAGCAGCGGCCATCGGGGCTGCTCTGTGCCAGGTGTTGAGCAGGTCCCTACCTGTGGAGGGGCTCCCAAGTTTCCTGAACTTGGGATTCACTAGTCCCTGAATCCTCAGAAGCTGTGCCCACAGCTTTCACAAGACACCCTGAAAGAGTTAGACAAAGTCAAGAATCACAGTCTATGCAGCAGGCATGGTGGCTTGCGCCTGTAATCTCAGCACTTTGGGAGGCCAAGGTGTGAGGATTGCTTGAGCCCAGGTGTTTGAGGCCAGCCTGGGCAAAGTAAGGAGTCCCTATCGCTACAAAAATTTAAAAAAAAAAAAAATTAGCCGGGCATGATGGTGCATCGTCCCAGCTACTCAAGAGGCTGAGATGGGAAGGTTGCTTGAGCCAAGGAATTTGAGGCTGCAGTGAGCTAGGATTGTGCCCTTGCACTGCAGCCTGGGTGACAGAGTGAGTCCTTGTCTCTTAAAAAAAGAATCCCGCCAGGCGCGGTGGCTCACACCTGTAATCCCAGCACTTTGGGAGGCCGAGGTCGGTGGATCACGAGGTCAGGAGATCGAGACCATCCTGGCTAACACGGTGAAACCCCGTCTCTACTAAAAATGCAAAAAATTAGCCGGGCGCGGTGGCAGGCACCTGTATTCCCAGCTACTCGGGAGGCTGAGGCAGGAGAATGGCATGAACCCAGGAGGTGGAGCTTGCAGTGAGCTGATATCGCGCCACTGCCCTCCAGCCCGAGTGACAGAGCAAGACTCCGTCTCCAAAAAAAGAATCCCAGTAATCCAAGTCCATAGAACAGGAACTCCCCAAGAGCAGGAGCTGGAGCTGACTGGTCCCCTGATACCTCCTCAGGATTGGCCCAGAGCCTGGTCATGGGGAGATCTAGTGAATGTGGAATAGATGATTGAATGAATGATTGAGTGAATGAAGTTGAAGGCCACAACAATCTGTCTTGTAAGCACCCTCACGGGGGGAGCACAGAGGAAGAGCCCCTCCAAGCTGGGGGGAGTGGAGGGGAAACAGTCAAGGAAGGCTTCCTGGAGGAAGTGACAGCTAGCTGAGCCCTGAAAGAAGAGAATATATTAGGCCAGTGGAAGAGGAGGAGGGGAAGCGGATGCTCCTGGCTAGCCAAGGGAGCAGTTTGTGCAGAGCTGGTGCAGGAAAACTGTGCATTCAGGTCTGGCTGGAGTAAATTGTCTTGATGCGTGGAGCCTGGAATGGACGTAGCCCCCAAGGGGCCCGGGCAGGCATGGAGCACTGAGTCCTGGCAGCCGCATGACAACAGCGACAGACCAAGGAACTCTCTTCCACATCCTGAAAACAAAGCAGATCTCTTTGCTGGGGATCTGCATGTCCAGGCGCATGTCCCCTCCACCCTGTCCTCTTTGGGTGCCAAGTAGGTCATTTGGCAGGTCCTTGTAGAATTTGAATTTACAAAAATGATTCTTTCCTCTGCCTCATCTTCTAGGTAGTACGATACAATGATGTAAGAGGCATCTATCGCTGTACAGTGTATCACTAAGAAAGCAAGCAAACTGTCCATTACAATTGTAAGACGTCCCCCCATGTTGGAGATGCTAAAACGTGAAAAAAAAAGAGAAGGTGCATCCCAGCATTGACGACACACAGAAATAACACTTTGGGTGGAAAAAAAATGTCCTCCAGATGCTGTATGCACATTGATCATGGGATAATAAAAGCCACTAATATTTATTGCGCGAGCACAACGTGCCAGGCACAGCTCCAAGCGCTTTAATATACGAAGTCATTTAAAGACAAGTCTCAAATTCAGAAAGTTGAAAATGTGGGGAAAATGTGTCTGAGAGTTGAGGAAATTCAATCATAGGAGGGGCCTGGCCTGGGGAGGAAGGCAGGAGGCTTGGGGCCTAATCCCAGTTCTGCTTTTGTTTGCTGTGTGACTCTGGGAGAGCCCCTTGCCCTCTCTGGGCCTCAGTTTTCCCTTGTGTGTAATGCTCAGGGGCTGTGAGCAAGTCTGCCCAGTGAATCTGGGCCTCCGAGAGCATGTGCAATCACACTCTGGCACCTCCATTCACCACAAGCTGTTCCTCGGCCCTGGCTTCTGGCCAACAGTTTTTTGTTTTTTGTTTTTTTTTTAATCGCGCCTGCCGTTCGTTCCCATTTTGTTTGTTTGTTTGTTTGTTTGTTTTTGAGATGGAGTCTAGCTCTGTCTCCAGGCTGGAGTTCAGTGGCACGATCTCAGCTCACTGTAACCTCCACCTCTCAGGTTCAAGGGATTCTCGTGCCTCAGCCTCCCGAGTAGCTGGGACTACAGGCATGCGCCACCACGCCCAGCTAATGTTTGTATTTTTAGTAGAGATGGGGTTTCACCTTGTTGGCCAGGACGGTCTCGATCTCCTGACCTCGTGACCTGCCCGCCTCGGCCTCCCAAGTGTTGGCCTTACAGGCGTGAGCCACCGCGCCCGGCCCCGTCCCCGGTTTTGAGATATGGCTTGTTCTGGAGTGACAGCCACTTGTTGCCTCAGCGCCCCTCCTCCTTGGAAGGCAGCAGGCCTCTTCTCCAGGGTGGCCTTAGGGCTACCTGGCCCAGCAGGTTGGCATTTGCCCTGCCAGAGGTCTGCTCTGTGAAGAGGTAGAGGAAGGAGAGAGGATGGGGTGGGGTGTGGGGAGGAGGTGCCTGGGAGCCCCCATGTGCCCTGGGGACTGGAGGACAGTGGGACAGAACACGGGATGTGGCCGCCACTGTTGGAAGGGACCTTCCGTGATGGGTGCCCACTACCCCAGGGCACTCGTTCCAGAGACAGCACGAGACCATCTCTAGCATCGCTGCTGTTGCATCACATCTGTCTCTGACCCGTGTATAGAGAGGTGGGTGTCTCTGTATCGCTCTATTTTACAGGCGAGGAAACTGAGGCTCAGAGAGGTGAGGCCCCTCGCCCAAGGTCACACTGTGGGAAATGCAGCTTGGAGGCCTGAGCCCTGACCCGTCTGGCTGCAGAGGTGGGATCTCCACCTCCAGCCCTTACTGGGTGGTATGGGCTCCACGGGGGCCACACGGCCGCACACACAGGTGACCATGGGTCCTTGGGCTGTCACCGTGCAGGGCATGGGGGGTGGGGGGCAGGCGGCAGGGGCGGCGAGAAGGAAGGCTTGGCATTCTGCTTGTGTCTGTGTGTCTTTCTGCCTCGGTTTCTATTTCCCATCCTCTCCATCTCCATCTCCCTGTGTCTCCCTGCGTCTGTCTGTGTCTCCCTGCATCTCCCTGAGTCTCCCTGCATCTCCCTGCGTCTCCCTGTGCCTCCTTGTGTCTCCCTGCATCTCCCTCCCTGTCTCTCCCTACGTCTCCACCTCCCACTCTGGGGCCCTGTCTCTCTCCACTTTCTCCCTGAGGCGCTCGCTGTGTCCCTCTCACTGCATCTGTGCATGTCCCTGTCTCCCTGTCTCCTTGGACTGTCAGTGCCTGTCTCATCTCAGTCTCTCTGTGCCATGCCCTCGCCCAGCCCCCAAGAAGGGGCTCCTCTGACCCCAGGTATGCCTCTAATGCTGGCCCCTTCTCTCTCCTGTTTTTGTCTGTCTATGTCTGTGTGTCCTGGGCGGGCCTGCAGCGGCCTAGCTGTGGTTACATGCTGTGCACCGTGCTGCTGGCCCTGGCTGTGCTGCTGGCCGTGGCTGTCACCGGTGCCGTGCTGTTCCTGAACCACACCCACACGCCAGGCACGGCGCCCCCGCCTGTCGTCAGCACTGGGGCTGCCGGTGCCAACAGCGCCCTGGTCACTGTGGAGAGGGCAGACAGCTCCCGCCTCAGCATCCTCATCGACCCGCGCTGCCCCGACCTCGCCGACAGCTTCGCACGCCTGGAGAGCGCCCAGGCCTCGGTGCTGGAGGCGCTGACCGAGCACCAGGCCCAGCCACGGCTGGTGGGCGACCAGGAGCAGGAGCTGCTGGACACGCTGGCCGACCAGCTGCCGCGGCTGCTGACCCGAGCCTCAGAGCTGCAGACGGAGTGCATGGGGCTGCGGAAGGGGCATGGCACGCTGGGCCAGGGCCTTAGCGCCCTGCAGAGCGAGCAGGGCCGCCTCATCCAGGTAGGGCTGGGGTCTGCGTCTTGGGGTCTTGCTAGAGGCAAGGGGTTGGTGCTGCCACGTGCCAGGCGCCTGATGTCCACAGCCTCACTTAATCCCCAAGTGCCCCAGACAAGGGGCTACTGCTGTTCCCATCTACAGACAAGCCCATGAAACTCAGGGAGGTGCAGTCACTCATCCAGGGCCGCACAGCTACTGGGAGCCAGGATTCAAACCCAGTTTCTTTCCCGGTGACCCTGGGTAATTGTATAGCACCCCACGGCATTTGGCACTCAGTCAAATCCAGGGCTCGAGGGCTTCCCCAGTGCTCCAAGATGCGGGCGAGGCAGGGCATTGCGCCCCCATCAGCAGCAAATCGAGGCTTAGAGAGGGGATGTGACTTGCTAAAGATCACGTGACTGGTCAGTGCTACCCCATCAGAGAGAGCCGCACCCCATCTCTCCACGACCCTCCCAGTTCACTACCATGCAATGCCCACAGCTTCCCAGGGACAGAGATACCAGTCCAGGCAACCCAGCCAGACCCCTAGCCTGTCCCAAACCACCTCCACCCTCCCCACCCCTGCCCCCAGCCAGCTCCAGGCGGATCTGGGTGAAGATTTTCCAACTTCAGCTCTGAGACCACACTGGAAGCACCACCCACAAGAAGTTCCTCCTTCATAGGATGAGGGACGTGGGATCATCTCTTCTGCCTCCACCCTTTTCCAGGACAGAAAATGGTGGCCCAGAAAGGGGTGGTGATTTTTTTCCTGGGTGCCGTGGCCGGGTCAGACCTGGAATCCAGCCCCCTTGGAGCCCTGCCCAGCCCCTGGCCCTGTGCCACATCCTCCCGGTGACTCAGATCCATGGAGGCTAGGAGCCAAGCCCCTGCCCCCTTGGGCGCCCCAGCCCCTTCCGCCCCACCTCCCAGCAGCCACTGGGAGAACCAGGCATTTGGTCACTCAGCACTCATGAGCAATGGGCCCCTTCCCTGCCTCTGAAGGCGGCAGCTGGAGAAATTACAGTCCTCATCACCCTGTCTGGGTGACTGATGGGAAGGTGGCTTCCCCTTCCCGGGGTAGAGGGATGTTTAGACTGCCTTCCAGCTGCCGCCCGCCCCCCGGCTGCAACTTCCCCAGGCCTCATCAGCAGGGCTGGGGGCTAGGAGTACCTCCTGACTTTCTGGCTGACCTGGGACCCCTACCTCACTCCAAATCGCTCAGCCCCTGGTCAGCTCAGGCCCAGTTCATGAAGGCGTGCCCTTAGAGCTGGGGTGGGGAATTTAGAAGGAGGGACCCCAGAGTCCTGCCCTCCCAATAGCCTGCGCAGAGGTACTGAGTCTTCCCGCAAGACTAACAGCCTGTCTGGGCCCAGGAGCGCCGGCTTACCTGACATATTTACTCCCCCAAAAATGTTTGATTTGACTCATTCCCCACAGACTGGATGATTCAAGAGACAGTGTGTCTTTATGTTTCATTCAGAGGCAGCGAGCCGTGCTCTTAACTCCTCCCTTCCAAGCTTCCCAGACCCTCAGTCGATCAGACGTGGGTTTCTCAAAGCTGTGCCTGCAGGCACCTTGGGTTGGAATCACCAGAGGTGTTTGTTACAAGGCAACTTCCTGGCCGGGTACAGTGACTCATGCCATAATCCCAGCACTCTGGGAAGCCGAGGCGGGCAGATTACCTGGAGTCAGGAGTTCAAAACCAGCCTGGCCAACATGGTGAAACCCCGTCTCGACTAAAAATATAAAAATTAGCCGGGCGGGCGCCTGTAATCCCAGCTACTCAGGAGGCTGAGGCAGGAAAATCACTCAAACCTGGAAGGCAGAGGTTGCAGTGAGTCAAGGTCACGCCACTGCACTCCAGCCTGGGCAACCGAGCGAGACTCTGTCTCAAAAAAAGGAAAAAGCAAGTTCCTGGGCCTCATCCCCAACCCCCTGCAGCCCCCCGGACGGGGGTGATTCTCATGTGTAGTCCCTGAGGCCTGCTGGTCATGGCTGAGCTGAGCCGTTCTGCCCAGAGGGTCTGAGTCCACAGAGCTTAGATCCAGTCTAGGCCCCATCTGTGCCAGCTGTGGGATGCTGGGCAGGTTGCAGCCCCTCTCTGGGCTGGTTCTTCTGACCCATAAAAGGTGCATAACACAGTCTATGCTGAGGGGATATTGGAGGGCCTGGCTACAGGGCTTTGTTGGCTCTCTCACCGTCTGTACCATCAACATCTCCTTATTACTATAGTAGAAATTGTTTGTGAGCTGAAATTTAAACCTATAGGGAACCACCATGCTACTATTGAAAACTCCCTTTTATTTTATTTTATTTTATTTTATTTTATTTTATTTTATTTTTTTCTCTGAGGCGGTCTTACTCTGTCACCCATGCCAGAGAGCAGTGGCGCGATCACGGCTTATTACAATCTCCACCTCCTGGGCTCAAGCAATCCTCCCACCTCAGCCTTCTAAGTAGCAGGCACTACCAGTGTGCACCACCATGTCTAGCTAATTTTTTTGATTTTAAAAAAATGTTTTTGTAGAGAGGTCTTGCTGTGGTGCTCAGGCTGGTCTCAAACTCCTGGCCTCAAGCAATCCACCCACCTTGGCCTCCCCACGTGCTGATATTACTGTGTTGGGCCGAAAATCCCTTTTCTGATAGGAATGATAGGTCTACACCACGTGCTGGGCTCTGTGTTGACGGCACTTTGCAGCCCAATAACCCCAGGAGGTTGGTACATTTGTTATCCCATTTTATTTTATTTTAATTCATTTATTTATTTTTTTGAGACATGGTTGTATCGCTCTGTCACCCAGCTGGAGTGCAGTGGTTCGATCTCGGCTCACTGCAACCTCTGTCTCCCGGGTTCAAGCAATTCTCCTGCCTCTGCCTCCTGAGTAGCTGGGACTATAGGCACGCACCACCATACCCAGCTAATTTTTTTTTTGTATTTTTAGTAGAGACAGAGTTTCATCATGTTGGCCAGGCTGGTCTCAAACTCCCGACCTTAGGTGATCCACCCGACTTGGCCTCCCAGAGTGGTAGGATTACAGACCTGAGTCACCGCGCCCGGCCTTGTTATCCCATCTTATGGAGAGGCAGACTGAGGCTCTGAGTGGCAGGTGCCTGTGCAAGCTCGCTCACACAGCTAAGCAGTGCTGGGGACAGCAGCTCTGATGCCACTACCTCTAAGCACTGCCCAGCCTTCCCCTGATGTGCCTGTGCAGCTTGGCGAGTAGAGACTCACTTCGCCATTAATTCGGGGCATGTTTATATGTACATTTTCAACTTTAATCATCTGCTGGTTTAAACGGAGGCCTTCCCTGCCCGTTAGCAAGAGGGAGGAGGCCGTGCCTGAGTTTTCTGAGTGTGTTGTGGCTGTGTTGACTCAGATAAATGGGCAGCACCGGTGTGATTTAACCAAGTGATCTTTGCCGCACACACATCGCAGGGCAGCCCCCACCTGCCGTCTTCCCTCCCGCCCTGGTTTGGGGGTGCTCCCTCTGTCCCTCTGTGGGGCATGAGCTCGTCTACAGGACGCTGCTGTGACGCCCAAACGCTCTGCCTGCTCATCTCTGCTCCTCTCTCCCCCCACCTCATCCCTCACTGAATCACCTGCTCAGCCGAGGGGAAACTGACAAGGAAACTAAAAGCTTTGCAGGGCCCCTGCCTCTGGATGAGCCGAGAATCATATTTTGTAAACTGCCGGCACTGTATATTTCTATTTTCCTTCCGCGAATGGGCTATTATCTGACAAGTGACAGGTTCGGTGTGTAAAGATCTGGCCGACTCCACGCTCGCTGGCTGGCCAGCTGTAGCTTGCTCGCCACCCCTCACCCTCCACGTGGTCCTGCAGCCTCCTGCAGCCCAGGGTGGGGGCAACAGACCTCAGACCCTTCAGGCAGCCAACACAGGCGGAGGTGCTGGGGGACAGCACTGCGCTTGCCAAACTGCAACCCCAGGGCTGTGATGGAGGGAGGGGTGGGAGTGAAGGATGGAGAACAACGGCTGAGCTCCCCAGCCCAGGCTGTCCTGAATCCCCCCACTCAGAGAAACAGGGCTCATTATCCTGGGTTACAAGGCAGTGGAGACATGGAGAGATTCAGACACTGTTCCCGGGTCACGCAGCTAGTGAATGGGGGAGGGATTGGAGTGAAAACACAAGACAGTCAACACCAGAACCTGGGTCCAAACCACCACCCCGTCCCCATCCTGACCCTGGTCTCCTACACGAGAACACAGTCCCGGACCCCTTTCCTGCCAGCCCGCCCTGAGGAAGTGGCCTGAGTCCTGGTCCCTGCCCCCAGTGCCATCCTTCACTCTCAGGGATCTCTCTTTCGGGGCCTCAGTTTCTCCATTTGTCACAAGAGATGACAACCCTAAGTCCTCCCTCTGTGGCGTGGTGGGGGACCCAGTGAGCTCATGGACGTCAGAGAGCCACAGAAACTCAGAGTGGTGTTTGCATGGGGAGTGGGGGTGGGATGGGGAAGACCTGTTGGTCCAGAAGCCCTGTGGCCTCCCCAGCCTCAGGGCACCCCTCTGTCAAGTCCAGATCAATCACTCCTGCCTCAGCAGCCTTGCTCAGGATCGGAAGAGGCAGCGGTGGGGATGTCTGGTAGCCTGGAAGGTGCTGTGGGAACTTGGTGTGCCGAGTACCCGGCCGGTCCTTGCCGCTGTGCTGGGCACCTCCCACGTGTTGTCACTGGTCCCCATAACAGTTCGGCCAGGCCAGGGGAGAGGAGGCGTGGTGAGGACACTCACCTCCAGTCCTATAACTGGCAAGTGGACGCGCTGGGCTGAAGCTGGATTTGCCCAACGCTGGGCGCTGTCTCCCCGCACGGCATGGCCTCCTCCAGTTTACTGTTCCCTGGGCTGAGCACGCAGAGATGGCTGAAGAAGACAGCCTGGGGCAGCAGGGGTGGCAGGTGCCTGCTGGAGCTTCCTTCCCTTCCTGCCTGCTCCCCGGCCCTCCTAGCCCTCGAGGTCCCAGAGCACAGGCTCCATCATAACCCACTGGCCCCTCAGACCACCTTGGACAGGGACCCAGGGGGCAGGGCAGGGTGGGGGCTACCATTGAGCCAGGAGCCCACCTCTGCCTCAGGAGAGGGCCCACTCTGGCCAGTGACCTGCTATGTGCTCCACCCAACCCCCAACAGAGCCCCTGCTCCCTCGGCTCATCCCCTGTGTCCGCAGCTTCTCTCTGAGAGCCAGGGCCACATGGCCCACCTGGTGAACTCCGTCGGTGACGTCCTGGATGCCCTACAGAGGGACCGGGGGCTGGGCCGGCCCCGTGCCAAGGCCGACCTTCAGAGAGCGCCTGCCCGGGGAGCCCGGCCCCGGGGCTGTGCCACTGGTGAGTGGGGCAGGGGCTGCTTTCCTCCGGTGACTTGGGTCCCAGCTGTAGGGAGTGGGGAAGCTGGGGTGAGGGTTCCCAGCCATGAGACTTCCAGGGCCCGACCCTGCTTCCATGTGGCCTGCACTTAAGCCCTCTTGGTCCATTCTCCAGATGAGGAAAGTAAGGCCCAGAGAGGGTGATTCTCTCACCAGGCCTCAGCAGGGCGTGGCAGAGCCAAGGTCGGACTCCAAGGCTGGTGCTCTCTCAACCCCATGGGACCCCCACATGCGTTATCGACGGACAGACAGTGTCGGCGAGGGGGCTGGGCAGGAACGCGCTGGGGGCCGCAGCCACCCTGACGGCCTTGCCTGCCTCAGGCTCCCGGCCCCGAGACTGTCTGGACGTCCTCCTAAGCGGACAGCAGGACGATGGCATCTACTCTGTCTTCCCCACGCACTACCCGGCTGGCTTCCAGGTGTACTGTGACATGCGCACGGACGGCGGCGGCTGGACGGTGAGTGTCCCAGGCCGGGCGGGCAGCAGGACAGGCACCGGGGACCTCGAGGCTGTGTACGTGAACCTGGGCGTTCTGAGCAGCCTCCCACCCAGCCCTCCACCGTGCACCTGTGGACTGGTCCCGTCCCGGTGCCCTTTGGCCTGGCCTGACCCCACCCCTACAGAAGAGGGGAACAGGGGACTCCGTGAGCTGACCCTGGGGGACCCACTCTGGAGCGGACATCAGGCAGGAGCCACCTTGGGCTCCCTGAGATCCTCGGCCGTGGCTCTTCCAGTGGGGGGTTTCTAGGCAAGTTGGGGTTTGGGCCTAGGAGGACACGTGGCAGCAGGAACCTGTTGCTAACGTGGGTTCCAGGGCTGTTGTGTGCGGGCGCCTGACTTTTTGAACTACCCAATACACTGCGCATGTGCAGAAGAGAAAGGAGGAGTGTGACTGCTGGGAGCGGAGACCCCCCGCGGCTACAGGCTGACAGGAGCTGTCTGATTCCTGCGCCTCCTGGTTCCTGCTTGGGTGGGAAACAGGAGCAAGATGTCCCAACTGCCAGTCACAGGGCAGGGGCGGGACCACACGAGGTGGTGGGAGAATGGGGCACACACCCTGGTTTGAAGACCCCAGGGCAGCTCCAGAGGGGCCTCTGGGAAGCTCCTTCCAGAAGTGGGTTGGCAAGCTTTGTCTGCAAAGGGCCAGATAGGGAGGCTCGGAGGCCTGCTGTCCACACAGTCCTACAGAGGACGGAGGGAAGCTCTGATCTCCGTAGTAAAACAACTTCCCTCTGTCCTTTGTAGGGAAAACAGCCACAGAGCAAACCAAAAGGCGCAGGCGTGGCTTCGTTCCAGTGATGCTTGTAGACACTGAAATGTAAATGTTATAAAATTTTCATATTCTTCCTTACATGTTATTCAGTGGATATTTAAACTTTTTTCTTTTGATTTTTTAAAAACCATGTTAAGGCAGGGCATGGTGGCTCACAACTGTAATCCCAGCACTTTGGGAGGCTGAGGTGGGTGGATCATCTGAGGTCAGGAGTTTGAGACCAGCCTGGCCAATATGGTGAAACCCTGTCTCTACTAAAAATACAAAAATTAGCCAGGTGTGGTGGCACATGCCTGTAAACCCACTACTCAGGAGGCTAAGGCAGGAGAATCGCTTGAACCCGGGAGGCGGAGGTTGCGGTGAACCGAGACTGAGCCATTGCACTCCAGCCTTGGGTGACAGGGCAAGACTCCATCTCAAAAAAAGCTAAAAAATAAAAATAAATTAAAGCCATCTTAAAAATTCAGACCCTTCTTAGCTTCCTTGCTGTATACAAGCAGGCAGCCGGCAGGAAGTGTCCTGTGGGTGGTGGTTTGCTGACCCCATCCTAGAGCTGGAGACCCCTGGTGGCGGGAGCTGAGCTCACGGCCCCCTTCTCCCACTGGTGGACTTCTGACCCCCTCCTGAGGCTCAGGCTTGGGGTTGGGCATTAGCAGGGCCAGCACTGGCCGCTGAGTGATTGTGTGCACATTGAAACGACGCATAGTTCTTCCTTTGTGCATACTGGGAAGCCGGGCTTGGAGGAGAACAGATGTGAGCCCTGCCCACTGACTGGGTGCTCTTGAGCAGTGAACAACCTGCACTGCTGTCCCTGGAGGTCTGCGTGCCACCCTGAATGCTGCCCGGCCTTCCCCAGTTGGCTGTGGTTGGGACACCTAGTGACAGTGGAAAGCGGGACTAGGAGGACTGGCTCTTAAAGGCTTCTCCGCTTCACATTTCATTTCAGTTGGACAGATATTTTTGAGCGCCTACTGTATACTGGGTTCTGGGGAAGCACAGAGATGGGGAAGCCCCTGTCCCAGTCCTCCCGAGGAATTTACAGGCCGGGGGGCACTGGGGGTGGAAGAAATCACTATAGTAGAGATGAGGGTAAAGCTTCGTGGAGAAGGGGCATTTCTCATGAGCCATTACAGCGGGGAGGATTTCTGAGTGCGGGCATGAAGGAGAAGGTATTCCAGGAGGAGGGGGCAACCTAACGCGGCTCCCGCGGCACATCTGGGGAGCAGGGCCTGAGAGATTCGTGGTGCATGAGGAGATGAGGCTGGAGTGGTCCGGCCCCAGGCTGCAGGGTTGGGACACACTCGGGAGCTACTGGGGGTGTTGAAGAGAGGAAGACGGGATGGAGACTGTGCTTCAGGCGGGGTGACTTGGCGATGTGCATCCTTGGGCAGTGGCGAGAGGGACAGGGAGGAGGTGTTATGAGCGTTCGGTCCTCAGGTCTCTGATGGGGCCCTGACAGCAGATGTCAGAGAGGCGGGGAGCCTGGAGGTTCTGCGCTCTGGCTCTGTCATCCACAGACCGCCCCAGGCATGGCTCTGAGTCCTGCTGTGTGACCTGGGTCAACTTACCTCGGTTCTCTGAGCCCCCATTTCCTCAGCTGTGAAATGGGGATGCCTGCCTGTATCCTTAGAGCTCTTAACTGCAAGCACAAGAAAGTGGGGGGCTCGGCTGAGAAGGAGTGTGCTGCAGAGAGACTGGGAGGCCAGAGATGCCAGTCAGGACTGCTCAGCCAGGAACAGAGACCCCAGACCAGGCCAGGGGGTGGCCTGGTGAGAACCCCACTGCCCCAGGGCTGCTCTGAGTGCAGGATGCATCTCGCCCGGGATCTTAGTGTTGACTATCTCTGGTGTATTGATGTCTAGACCCACAAACATCCGGGAAAGGGGCTTAACATCAGACAAAACAAGTGACGGAGAAACAGGAGACAGGGAAGCCTCTTGGCGGGGAGTTTTGGGGGAGGCAAGGTGTAGGCGGCCTGGGTCGGTTTTGAAAGGGGTCAGCCGTCCTCAGCAGAGGCAGGAAGGACGCGGGGAGGCCCGCACAGGCGGGCGGTGGAGGGGCGAGTCCGCCAGCCGGGAAGAGCCTGCTGTGTTAGGAGCCAGCGTGAGAACAGACGAGAATCCCCCCAAGACCCCAAAGATAGACACATCTCTAAACCTGTCTGCAAGCTCCAGAGGAGAGCTTTTAAATGGACTGGAGCTGCTCTGGGGGATAAAAGCTCTTTTGTTTTCCTAACGCTGAGAACGTCTGAGTTATGGCATTTGCTTCAGGGAACCCCTTGGCGGGCGGAACAGTGAGAAGGCACCAGCCGAACCCAGAAATCAGAGTTCAGGGTCAGGACAGGTTTAATGAAAGGTCAGGACGCCGGAGCGGGCCATGCGTCCTCCACTCCGGTGGACGTGAAGCCAGTCTCCCGGGAAGTCAATCAGGATTTGGGCTGGGAGGCGGGTCATTCTGACGGCCTCGGCTTCAGGGGCGATGAGAGGGGAGTCGATGGGGAACTCCCCCCGAGCCCTGGTGCTCAGACACCTGGTTCTGGGGTCTCTGGGAGAGAGGCCGTTCTCATCTGAGAAGTGCTTGCGTGGCCAGTGAGCGTTAGTATCCATTTGGGCCTCCATCAGAAGCAATCTTTTCCCAGGAACCTCTCGACATCTGTCAGGATCACCCCGCTGCCACACGGAATCTCTCAGAAACTCAATTTTTGTTTGGGAAGGAGCTGGCTGCCGCCTCTCCAGCCCCGGATACCATCCATCCTCATTAGACTCCCTGTCCAAACTGCCAGGCCTTGAGCGCCAACGCCACCTGATCCTTCCTGGAGGACAGGCACCTGGAGCTGTGTCCCGAGACCCTGGGGCTGGACACGCTCACCAGAGCCTGCTTCCTGGAGAGACCTGCGTGTCGAGGGTGGAACTCAGCAGCCCTGTACCCAGGGCCACTTTACAGTTCATACACTCCTGCCCCCTCCCCCAGCATCATGCCAGCGCTCTTCAATCCCTGGAGGCAGGCAGGGCAGCCTCAGAGAAGGCCAGGGATGTGCCCAAGGTCACCCAGCAGCCTCCAGGCCTCCCGCAGTGGCACACACTTATTCTTGTGTTCAAACACTGAGCGCCCAAAGCAAGCCAGGGCCAGGGAGGTCAGCAGTGACTAGACAGGTCAGCAGGCTCCCGGCCTGGCGGACAGAAGGACGAGGAAGCCGACTTGTGCCAGGAATGGGGAGCCCCGGGGCTCAGAGGAGAGACCCCTATTCCAGTCTGGGGGATGGGAGGAGTGAGAGGCAGGGAGACGGTGTGGCTTGTCTGGGGGCCGTGGTAGTTCAGTGCTACTGGCCTGTCTGGTTTAAGGAGGTTTGGGTCCACAACAAGGCAGGGGAGGCGGCAGGGGCTGGGTCATGCAGGTGATCCTCAGACCCCATCATCACTCCCATCACAGGTCCGGCCCTTCCGTGACAGGAGTCCCAGGGGCAGGGACCACACCCTCCTGTGGCCACGTTAGCTTAGGGTGGGCACCACACCCGCACACCCTCGGCGCTCTCTAAATGCTTGCCAGATGATGGCTGTTGGCACCCTTTGGCTGCATAGTCTTATCTCTGTAAGTCTTGCTTTTCTCATCTGTAAAATGGGTACAATGTAGAGCTGCTCTGCAGATGTGGGCGAAGTCAGAACCCTTCACAGGCTGCTCACCCACCTGTGAGGAGTGAGCGGGGAGAGGGGCTGGGAGGGAGTCAGCGCTGAGCCCCGGAGGTTCCCTGTGAACACAGGATCTGGCTCTGCCTTGTAGCATCTTATAATCAAGGGGAGGCAGAGTCGTAAAAAGAAAGACCGGTTTTTCTTATTCAGAAGGTGCCGAGTGGGATGAAGCCAGCCATTGCCAGCCCACACCCCCCACCCCCAGCGCCCCTGGCTGTGTGAGATGCGAGGGTCACATCCCTTCTTGGAGGGCCCTTGCTCATCTGTCCAGTGGGGTGACCCTCTTGCCTGCCTTGCAGGGCCTGGGGAACGGGGTGGCTGTGCCCGGAACCTGCTGCCGGTGGGCGGAAGGAGGGTCTCGGCGCCTGGACTCCCCGTCCCCACCCAGGCTCCCTGTCCTGCTGCACAGTCTTGTCCCCACCGCAATCTGCCGGGGGCAGCGCTGCTCCCTAGGCCTGATTGCCAAGCCCTCATCATTGCGTAGTCACTGGCCGGGTC